TGGTCGGAGAAGTGGCAGATGCAGTTTAATATAGACAAATGCAAAGTTCTAAATGTTGGGACAGGACATAACCATGCCACATATAAACTAAATAATGTAGATCTTAATATTACGGACTGCGAAAAAGATTTAGGAGTTCTGGTTAGCAGTAATCTGAAACAAGACAACAGTGCATAAGTGTTCGCAATAAGCTAATAGAATCCTTGGCTTTATATCAAGAAGCATAAATAATAGGAGTCATCAGGTTGTTCTTCAACTCTATACATCCTTGGTTAGGCCTCATTTAGATTATGCTGCACAGTTTTGGTCACCGTATTACAGAATGGATATAAATTCTCTGGAAAATGTACAAAGGAGGATGGACAAAGTTGATCCATGTATCAGAAACCTTCCCTATGAGGATAGACTGAGGGCCCTGAATCTGCACTCTCTAGAAAGACGTAGAATTAGGGGGGAAATGATTGAGGTGTATAAATGGAAGACAGGAATAAATAAAGGGGATGTAAATAGTGTGCTGAAAATATATAGCCTAGACAGGACTCGCAGCAATGGTTTTAAGTTAGAAAAATTCAGATTCAGGAAGGATATAGGAAAGTACTGGTTTGGTAATAGAGTTGTGGATGAGTGGAACAAACTCCCGAGTGCAGTTATAGAGGCCAGAACGTTGTGTAGCTTTAAAAATAGGTTGGATAAATACATGAGTGGATGTGGGTGGGTGTGAGTTGGACCTGATAGCTTGTGCTACCAGGTCGGTTGCCGTGTTCCTCCCTTAAGTCAATGTGACCTGACCTGACTAGGTTGGGTGCATTGGCTTAAGCCGGTAGGAGACTTGGACCTGCCTCGCATGGGCCAGTAGGCCTTCTGCAGTGTTCCTTCGTTCTTATGTTCTTATATGTGTCTTACCTAACAACCTGTCGGTATTGTATACCATTTTGATGTTCAACTGTTCAACGCATCATACAATCATTAAATCTTCCACAATTTCCTCCATGGTTTCCTCCATTAATTAAGCAAAGATGTCTTGGATGTGTCATGTGTGGCATAGTGGCTGGCAGCCAATATAACAGGGCACCCATATATTGTGCTGAGACCCTTGAATATATTATTTTTATTATATTGAAAAACGTGTGCTAAGCCTATGTGTTAGTCCATACACAAAATGTAGAACTAGTGAATACCAGGAGCACAGAATGTATGTACCTTGCAGTGCTTCTTTTCTTGGTCTTTGACTCCACTTTTCCATCATTACTTTCTTGGATAACATTGAAAATGGATTGCTCAAATGTTCTGTGAAGGACCTGCCCAGCATGGGCCAACAGGCCTACTGCAGTGTTCCTCCTTTCTTATGCTCTTATGTACTACTACTACTGCTACCTCTACCACTACCTCTCTTGTCCCGTCCCTGTCTGCTGGCTTATATATACTGCCCCCTTCTTTCATTTCATTCAGTTCTACACTCCTGTCTAGCTCTAAACGTCGCATGTCCCTTCCTCCCCGCTCACCCTACCGGAGTCCCAACAGAAGAGCCTGAATTTCTCTTCTCAATATCTGTCCCACGATCGCCTTCGCTGCTGGGTTAAGCCCTGGCTCTATTTCTACGACTAAGAACACTCCTCTCCAGCACTATTCTTCGTCTGTCCCGTCTTCCCCGCTCATCCCATTTGGGATCTTACCTGAACTTTCGTTCGTTCGTTCGTTCATTTCATTTCAGCTGCTGGGTTAAGCCCTGGCTCTATTTCTACAACTAGGAACACTCCTCTCCTTCGCTATTCTTAGCTTGTCCCGTCTTCCCCGCTCATCCCATTGGGATCTTACCTGAACTTGTTCGTTCGTTCGTTCATTTCTGTTAGTGTGACTTTGTAAGTGGTCCAAGTCGGACCGAAACGTCGTCGTAAGCTGCTCTCTCCTATGTGTGGGTTATTTTTGTAATATCTTCAGTATTTGGGTTATCTTTATTCTGGAAACGTTTCGCCAGATGAAGAAGCAACTGGCTGGCGAAATGTTTCCAGAATAAACCATTTATTCAAATCAGTCTTAATATATCAATGAAGAGGAGCCAAACATAGAAATCATACAGATTAGGTTTAGATTTTGCCACCGAAGTGGCTAGTGCATTGTGCACTCCATATCCATCCTGTCTGAAAGGACCTGGCAAAACCTGGAACGGCCAAGCCAGATCGTAGATGATCTAGCCAGAAATATAGTTCTACTGTCTTCAAATTATGTCCTAGAATCTGTATTGATAAAGCCACTGGATGGCGAAACGTCTACAATAAAGATACCCAGATGCTGCACATGTGTCTAAATCTTCATCATGGTATGACCTGTCTAGACCTGGCCAAACCTAGCTAGACTGGGCAAAATTTAGCGGAACCTGGCCAGATTAACGATATTCCCAGTATGGAAGACAAAAGCGAGTCTCGCACCCACCTGCGGGAGAACAAGATGGAGTGGGGGTGACCTTGAGCGACCGACATGCCTGGTGGTCGCAGTATTACGTTTTTCGTGAAGCTGAACTCATGATCATGTAAACAATTCATTGTTATTACTAAAAGTTCATTCATTTTTAAATGACTTATTACCACCTTGACTTGCTTAGCTCTCAAAAATTGTGGGAGCCAGTCACTGGACCCATTATGCGTCTCTAGAATCTTGTGAGTGCCTCAGAATGGGTGTGAGGGTATAGGATACAGTTGTCAATCTTAAGAGAGGTAACCGTGACTCTTGATAAGTACGAGTGGTAGAACCTTAGTGTAACCTTGGGGAATACTTGGTGTTACCTCCCCCCCCCCCACACACACGAAACATTAAAAACCAGTGTCACTGATATGTATATTATGAAAAGTCATGGAGGAGATTATCAAGAGAAAAGTGGTGGAGCACCTGAAAAAGGAATGAGCTTATATACGATAACCAGCACGGTTTCAGGGAAGGGAAATCCTGTGTTACAAACCTTCTCAAGTTTTACGACAAGGTGATAGAAATAAGAGAGGAGATAGAGAGGGGTGGGTAGACTGCATTTTCTTGGCCCAAAAAAGGCTTTCGCAGAGTTCTGCACAATAGATTAGAGCAAAAGCTAGAGGAGTAGGCAGGAATAGCATGAAAGGCACTGCAATGGATCAGGGGACCTGACAGGAAGGAAAAAGCGAGTGATGGTACGTGACGAGGTGTCAGTGGGCGAATGTAATGAGCGGGGTTCCACAAAGGTCAGTCCTAGAACTGGTGCTGTTTCTGGTATATGTGAATGACAAGACGGAGGGGATATATTCAGATATCTCCCTGTTTGCAGACGATGTGAAGCTAATGCGGAAAATTCAAGCGGATGAGGATCAGGTAGGACTACAAAGGGATCTGGACAGGCTGTAAGCCTGGTCCAACAATTGGCTCCTGGGGTTTAACCCCACCAAGTGCAAAGTTATGAAGATTGGGGAAGGTCAAAGAAATCCGTAAACGGAATACAGTCAAGGGGGTCAAAGGCTGCAAACCTCACTCAAGAAAAAGGATTTTGGGGTGAGTATCACACCGAGCACAGCTAAGTCGCACTTCAACAAAATAACTGCTGCAGAATATGAGCGCCTGACAAACCTAAGAATAGCGTTTCGAAACCTGAGTAAGGACTCATTCGAGACACTGTACACCATGTACATCAGGTCCATATTGGAGTATGCAGTACCAATATGGAACCCACATTTGGTCAAGCATGTCGAGAAATTAGAGAAAGTGCGAAGGTTTGCAACAAGACTAGTATGTCCAACGAGAAGTTGAGGGAATAGGAGAAACATAATGACATATGAAATACTGAGATTAATAGATATTGTGGATAAGGACAGAATGTTTCGTAGATGAGATGCAGGAACAAGGGGTCACAACAGGAAGCTGAAAACTTAGATGAGTCACAGGGATGTTAGGAAGTATTTCTTCAGTGATAGAGTCAGTCACAGAGTTTTGGAACAATGTGGAGAGTGATGTAGTGGAGGCAGGATCTATATATAGTTTTAAAGAGAAGTACGATAAAGCTCTTGAAGCAACAAGTGGCAGCAAGTGTGGCAAATGGGGTTCCATAAAGATCGTTACTGGGATTATCACTGTTTCTCGCGTACCTAATCGACATACCAGATGAAATAGTCTGATAGATCTTTGTTCTGGGGCAATATAGAACTACTGAGAAGAATAAAAACAGGAGAGGACAGGTAAAGGCTACAACTGAACCGAGACAAGCTGAAGGATTGGTAAAACAATAATTTGGGGCGAATTCAACTTACAATGACGGTAAGTTAGGTTAGGTAAGACTTGTCAAGAAACAGGACAAATATTTCCTGACGCGTATCTTTGCCATATGACGACCCACCATTGGAATTTTTGGTCATCTGATCAAGGCCTTCCGCTGGCTTACCCATCCACCCCTATAAAAATTAAGTCTCAGTCAATGAGAAATAACTTAGCGTGAACATAGTACCAAGCATATCCCTGAAGGGCACATAAACCAGACAACCTCTGTACATTATGTTTCACAACATGGTAAACCAGTACGCGTCACCCAGCGTAGTGACAGACAATCCTCGCGTTCACTTAATAGACTCATATACGCACGCGTTCGTTTTTATGCTCAGCGGATGGTAAATAATGGGCGAATTTTGGAGAGCTTTCATGGGGAAAAATGGAACATGCCAAGGTGAGATACTGTCACAATGAGACCCAATGCTTAAGGAAGAGGACAGGAAGCTGCACACTGGTATCCTTGACATCCATACTGTCCAAGGTAATGGATGGACATCACCAGAATGACACTACTAACTACCTCAAACTTCTCATTTACCACCTTTTTCTGCACTGGACTGAAGAAGCCACTGGCTGGCGAAACGTTTCCAGAATAAAGATACCCAAATGTTACAGTGGTGTCTCATTTATTAACTTGTGGGTTTTGTGAACCATTTATTTACAACTTTCCTCATAAACAACAATGATCATGTTTTAGAAGAGGTAAATCTTGTCTCACAAACCTGCTCCAGTTCTATGACAGGTTAATAGAAAGACGGAAAGTCTCCAGCAGTTATTAGGTGGTGTTCAGTTAACAGCTTGATGGCCTGGGTGTCCCATAGCTCAGTGGTAGCGCACTCAGCTCGTACAGAGGTCCGTGGTACAATTCCCTGTAAGGGTGGAAACAATAGGATGTGTTTACGTAAGACACATGTTGTCCCTGTTCACCCATCAGTAAAATAAGTACCTAGGTGTTAGTCGACTGGTGTGGGTCGCATCCTGGAGACAAAATTGACCTAATTTACCCGAAATGCTCTGCATAACAAGGGGCTTTCTATATAGTAGTATGTCACTGATGTCAGCTAGGACTGTATACCTTGTACATGTACTTGTAGAAATAAAGATTATTATTATTATTACTATTATTATTATTATTATTATTATTATTATTATTATTATTATTATTATTAGAGTCCCGTAGCTCAGTGGTAGCGCCTTCAGCAGGCATGGGGGCAAACAATAAGAATGTTTCTTTATACCTTTTGCCCCTCTTCACTTAGCAGTAATTAGGTACCTGGGTGTTAGTCGACTGTTGTGGGTGGCATCCTGGGGATGGCAGTATTCCTCAGATAGTGATGGACTTTAAAAAGAGCTGAGGTAGCATAAAAACTCTTAGCCTGTAACTTCATCTATGTAAAAAAAAAAAATCACACATATTGGACATATTGGTGAGGCGATCTGAAGACAGCTCTTGTTGTGACCGAAGTCTTAAGTTTTTGCATATATATGACAGTATATTGTATGACAATATTATATGCCATATTATATGACAGTATAATAAAAACTATATAGCGTGTACTCAACACTTGACGGTATATTCGCGCAGCGGATCAAAAAAACTGTACGATTTCCGGAGGCATTCATGGTGAAAAACGGAAGGAACCAAGGTGATACAGTGTCACAGCGAGACCGAGTTCGTCGGGAAGACAGTGGTTTGGTTGGTAGCGTTCTCAGGTTTCACTGAGGGGGTCGGGGATCGATCACCGGTACGGGTGAAAACGGTGGGCATGTTTCGTGACACCTGCTGCCCTTGTTCACCTAGTAGTAAATAGGTACCTGGGTGTTAGTCATCTTACACGTGCTGCCGCTGTTCACCTAGAAGTAGGTATGTGGCATGCAAAGAGTACGTAACCTTTATTCGGCGCATGTACACACCCTCACTGAAAGGCTATCTCCCCCAACCAGCGAACCAGGTACTAAGGGTTAACGATGGGGCCTCATCGTTCAATCAGTGCCCAAGTTCCAGCCAATGAGAAGATGGTTTTGGCAATCGCAGAGGTATTGTGGGTACCACACACCTGTCTGTCCTTGTCATTCCCATTCTAGAGCTGGTTGAAGCACGGTCTGCTCTCTAGTGGCTTCTATTCTGCCTTGCTTACCGTGGAGTGCACTAATACCTATTGTTGTACATAGTGTACATAATTCTGGTCTTACTTGGTGAAGGATAATGTAAGTCAAAAGTTTTTCTGCTGTGTTTATTTCGCTCCCTTTACACCCAGGATAACAGGCCTTTGGGACTCCTGGGTTGTAATAAGGTACCAGGGTGTTAGTCAACTGGTGTGGGTCGCATCTTGGGGGACAAGATTAACTTAAATTGCCTGAAATGTTCTGCATAACCAGGGGCTTTATATATAGCATGTAAGTGATGTCACTGCCAACTCTATTATTATTACTACTACTACTAATATGATTACTACTACTATTACTAATATTATAACTACTACTACTATTACTAATAATACCACTACTACTATACCTTCCCTAGTGGTGTCGCACAAGTCCTTAATTGAGGCTTCAATAGTCTATTAATTATCAGAAATTTGCATCCCCTCGCCTATGTTCTATATCTTCCACTTTTTCTTCCTTCTTATACCCTTCATGATGGTAGATTAAAAAAAGTGTAGTAAGTCTCAGAGGTAAAAGTATTACTGTTAGAGGAAGAAAGTTTTAGGCAGTTTAAATATGTTTATCACCAAAATAATGTTATGTGTTACAAGGAGCAACTTAAGACACAGAACAGCATCTGGAAAGGTGAAATCACAGCCAACATAATGAAAAGGAAACCCCAAAATCCAAAGGAATTCAACCTCTGGAAACCACCTCGTAGTCAATAGCCGGAACCTTATATTATCCTTTCATACCTAGCAGCTTCCAACTCCCTCTCATTTGTAATAATGCCCCAATGATGTCTTACACAAACACACAATCTCCTGCATTTCCACCATCTTTCAAACCCCCAACCATAACCCCATGTTTGCAGCACAGTGCACTACCCTACTAATGCTCTGCAAATCGTATTCTCCCTTCCTGATGGTAAGCGTTTCAAGAGTGTAAGGCTTATAGTAGTAAACAACTCCCTCAACATTATCACAATCCTCCCCTCCCACTGCCATGTACTACTCTCCTCCCCTAAATGGCCCAGACTCATCTGCCACATCCATGAAACAATGCATCATTCATGACTAAAACGCTGCATTATCTTTAACACTCCCTTGCTAAACCATCCATCCCCCTATACAACAACCTTCACCGGCCCTCCCTCACCCCACCACCATCCACCTAGTCACACCAACTCGAATGACAACAGTAAACAATTTCTCTTAGCTAGGTTATCCCCCTTTCCCTGGACTACAGAGTTTTAACAAACATCCTCCCGCCAGGACCACCACCATTACTGACAAATTAGTAACAGGAGAGTAAAGGTAATATATACGAACATATTACGCACTAAAAATAATATCAACAAACTTGAGGACAGACTCACCAGGGAAAAAACACAGCCACCAATATGGAGACAGAATATAAGAAAACAAGTTCATTTTACAAGATACAGAGACTGGTTAACATAGGTTATGTCATACATGAAAAAACCATAATTATGGAAAGCAGAAGAATTCCACATAAGAGAAAGAACAGAGAAAGGGAGATGTTGCTTTCACTGTCAGAAGACAATGAAGATTTGGGAAAAAGGTGAACCTGAACAAAGGGACTTCAGAAAAACAAAACAACAGATATCATCACAAATAATTGTGAAGCGCAGAGTAATAATGTCAGTAATATATGACACTCTCATCCATAGGTAACCTGGTCTGGAATACAAGGTCGAATATCAGGGTCACAATGAACCTCCTAGGACACATGAGCTCATGTACAATACACAGCTACTAATACTAGGAGACTTTAACTAATATAAAACAAAAATGGGAACTGCACTGGGCTGGGCACCAGATACTTGGAGGTAAGAATAAGAGGTATCCTGAGCCACAATACCAAGGATACTACAAGACTAAGAGGCGGAGGCGAGACAATCAGGTTGGACATGGATGTCTCCGAGGTTGATTTATAGCTCCTGGTACCACCACCTCATAGTACTTATCAACCTACTAAATTAATTCTTGACCTCCAGGAACTGACTATACTTACTCTTGCTACACAGTTCGACATTTGCCTCCATCACGTCTTTCTCTAGTGTCCCATTAACTCAACATCGTCAGATTATCTTCCCTCTCGAACCCTCAGAGTATCTTCTACGTCTTGATCAAGCCTCCGCCCTTAAGAATTTCACTAAGAGACGAATATGAGTATGACAGAGCATTTTCCGTTGAAAAGGAGTGGACTGACAAGTTGATTAATGAGACACATGTGCAACACTTGGGTATCCTTATCGTGGAAACGTTTCACCACACAGTGGCTTCATCAGTCCTATACAAAGGAGAATTGTGAAGATCAGAAGGAGTTTGAGGTAGCCAGTCCCTCAGCCTGGAGTAGCTGTAATCAATTCATTAGTCAAGACTGATGTAATCAAAACTCCAGGCTGAGGGACTGATTACCTCAAACTCCTTCTGATCTTCACCATTCTCCTTTGTATTGGACTGATGAAGCCACTGTATGGGAAAACGTTCCCTCAGTAAAGATACCCAATTTACTAATTTGTCAAGAGGAGTATATTTTGAACCAGGGTACACCACCAGTTAGCTTCATCACTGACCTCATCATGGCATGAGTAACACCCACCTCAGTACAGGTTTTACCCTGACGAAGTAAAAACCACCACCACCACCACCACCACCACCACCACCACCACCCCTGGTGCAACTCTCCTCTAGTGTTGCTGAAAATGGTAAGAAATATTAGTGTTGAATATTGCACCCATCCCTGGTTGTTTGGTATAATTGTGTGTGTGTGTGTGTGTGTGTGTGTGTGTGTGTGTGTGTGTGTGTGTGTGTGTGTGTGTGTGTGTGTGTGTGTGTGTGTGTGTGTGTGTTTCGTGTGTGAGTGTAGGTGTGTGGGCGTATGTGCGCAGGCGGGTACATCACTTTCACCAGTATATATCAGCTGGCAGTTGAAGGCTGCCCTCATCCGCTTACGAAACCTCTTCACTGATGTCTGTCTATGGTGTTTCTAGAACCAACCTGCCTGCCTACCACCTGCCTGCCAGCCACCTGCTTGCCTGCCTGCCACCTGCTTGCCTGCCTGCCACCTGCTTGCCTGGCTGCCATTTGCCTGCCTGCCACTTGCCTGCCTGCCACTTGCCTGCCTGCCACCTGCCTGCCACCTGCCTGCCACCTACCTGCCTGCCACCTGCCTGCCACCTGCCTGCCCACCACGGCCTACATGTAACTTTGTCCTTCAAGCGAGGTCCATCATTAAACACTTAACAACCTCTGAGTACACCTGCCATCAATACCAAACTTAACACTGTTGTGTGGCACCTAAGAGCCTAGTTTACGGTGAACCCGCAGTTCGAACTGCGAACTGTAGCTCAAGAACCAGCATTATAGAGGTCACAATGAGTCATTGTATATCATGGAATTCCCCTAATAATGGCATTCAAGTCTCCGTCCCTGACTTTCGCTTGGCTGATTTCATAGGACTGAAAAATTACTTAGGTGGGCTGAACTGGAATGACCTGACTAAGGGTCAGGTAGGTGGTGATGGTTGCCGATATGATGCTTTCCAGGGCATAGTTCTAGCTGCTCAGTCAAATTATGTTCCAAAAAGGGAAATCAGTTCAAACAAAAATGATCCTAAATGGATGAACAATAGATTAAAATATCTGATTGGTCAAAAGAGAGGCATATATAGGCAAATCAAAAGAGGAGAGGGGAAT